AAAGAAAATACATTAAGTAAAAATAAAATTCCAACCTGTAATTATCCGCAGTAATAAACCATCGCCTCGAAAAGACGCGACAGGGCGGACAGTGTCTAGCTAGCTCCGGGCGTGTTCCAGCTGTAACGAGTCAAACCCCCCTATGCGAGACGCGCCCACCCTATGACACGTGGGCCACCCCTCTCTGGGGTCCCACTTGTCATTGGCAGTGGTGTACGGCGTCGGCGTGGACGGGGTGTGTCTTGAGCTGGCAAGGCTTTACCGTGGGGCCCCCGGCTTTAACTAAACGTTATCCACTCCCGGTTTACCCATCTGACACCGGGTTACCGCTGTAATTACAGGATTTGCCACTGGAGGTTTTTGGTAATGTGGTTTATGTGATTCTGAAGTTCATAGAGGACTAGCAAACATGCCCGTGCGTTGCAACGGGTGAAAAACCTAATGATAATATACGTTTTACATGTATAACTATGTCGATGACAAACAGAAAATCAGAAAATTGGAACATCTTAAATGTAATGGCCCAACCTCAATGATGGCTACCTTACCGATGTTTGCTTTACCTAAAATAATTGGATTATTCATATGACAACATGCATATAATCTACAATATTCTTTTAATCTCATTCTTGCAACCAATCAAATCCTAGACTGCCTCGCATGGTCAAGTCTACACAAAATAGAGTCACTGTGCACTATTCTCTAAATAACAATTAAAATATGTTTATTTTCTAATATTATTTCCATATAATATGTTATCAAGAATAGTAGCTATTCTTCATAAAAATTGTCTGATAATTGCCTACATAGATGTGCAGGGTCTCCAATACAGGAGAATAGATGACGAAACAAAAGCAGTGTAGGAGATGGAAAAAATCGATGGATCCTATACGACCAAGCGTCCATCAATTTAGCTTTTTTTCTGACAGTTTTTTCCTCATATGCTTTTCTTTTTTTTTTGCTTTTTTTTACAGACGATGGAAATATTTTTTTCTCACATGTTTTTTCGGACTACGCAAACCTTTTTTTCTAGCGCATTTTCTTTTGCACTTTTTTTTGACATTTCAATTTTTTAAACCCTTTTTTTTCTCGTGCATTTTTCTTTTTTAATATAGTTAATATATGATGGAAATTTCTCTTTTTAAATAGTTAGATTAGATTAAATTAGAGATAGAGAAGAGATATATACGGACTACTAACACTGCGAATAAAAATTAGACTTTTTTTGCCGTGCTTTTTTTCGCCCTTTTTATTTTTTTCTCCAGCTTTTTTTTACGAACGGTTTTTTCGCCACTTTCTTATAGAGTCGGACCTTTCTATATGTTTTTTGGATTTTCTTTTATTTTTACGGATTTTTTTTTGTTTTTCGCTTTGTAGGAATCGGACTTTTTTTCTGTTGTGGGAATTGGATCTACGTTTCTTTTTTTAATTGGCCAGGAAACAGATTTTTTTTTCCGTTTAGGTGGGAATCGGATATATTTTTTAAATCTACGTTTTTTTTTCACCAGGTATCGGACTTTTTTTTTCCCGTCTTAGGTGGGAATCGGATTTTTTTTTTCGCCAGGGAATCGGATTTTTTAGTTTTTTTTCGCTGTTTTTTTTATGTTGACGGACGACGGAAACATGTTAAATTTTTTAAGTAGTAGAGATATATTCATGGAATATTACCAAAGGCTCTCATGGTCCTTGTTTTATTATAGTGGTGCTAATAGTGTATTAGTGTTGTTAGTCTTCTTTGTGTGTCCCATAAAGTAATGGTTGATTATGGAAGGTTGGGATTAGTTAAATTAGGATTGGATCATGTGGGGGGGGTGCAATGTGGATATGCTTGATATATAGAGTATATATATGGATATACATGTATACCAAAACCATGCATGCACTAATGCACAGTGGTGATCAAAGCTGGTGGTGGTCTTTGAGATCTCATGGTCTTTTACCATGTGGAAGGAGGAGGATTTGTTTAATTAATCCTACCCTAATCCTGTCGGTCAAAGTTCATTAATTTAATGGATTTGGATGAGGGATGGAAAAAAGATTTCATTAGTGTTTGTTGTGATATTAAAAAAGATTTCATTAGTCTTTGTCGGTCATGTTTAATCAGGTGTCAAATTTCAACGGCATACAAGGAATAGGTCATATACAGAGGGTGTGTTTAGAGGGTGTGTTTAGTTCACGCTAAAATTGAAAGTTTGGTTGAAATTGGAACGATGTGACGGAAAAGTTGGAAGTTTGTGTGTGGCTGTGTTTAGTTTCAAAATAATTCTTCAAACTTCCAACTTTTCCGTCACATCGTTCCAATTTGAACCAAACTTCTAATTTTGGTGTGCACTAAACACACCATGTGTAGGAAAGTTTTGATGTGATGGAAAAGTTGAAAGTTTGAAGAAAAAACTGGGAACTAAACTCGGCCAGAAACTAGGATAAATTTAAATTGCTCTGCAAAAATGAAGCAGACGATCTTTGACCTTAATTTCTCATGCATATTACCCTTTTTGATTTGAAGCATTGTATACTAGTACCAATTAAAAGTACTGAAAATCTTTTACCATGTCGTGTGAAAGTGTATTGTCAGTTGATCTTATCCTAATCTTATCAATCAATGTTACTTAATTATAAGGATGATTATTGTGGTTGGGAAAGATCTCTTTAATTTATCTTCTGGTGGAGGTGCCCATCTTGGCACAACAGGAATTTAATTGCTGAGATTATTTGAAAAACAAGAGGAACCAATAAAAAAAATGTCCCAGAATATATTTGACTTTATGTTTTGTTATGCATTGAATTAATGGAGTGACATATAGACACTCACAAATTTCCCCTGCAATGATAATCGAATTGGAGAAATTTGTCATATCTGTGCTACGCTACAAATCCAACTTGATTTATCTTTAGTGTACAATATCTACACTACAATGTAATATTTGTACAATTGGCTACATTACAATGTCGTATATGCGTGCTAAAATCCGGATTTCTAGTGTGGCTTTGGTCAAAAAGCTGTCTTTGCCCCTGTTTTTTCTAATGATAGTGTCCAACTAGATAACCAATGAAGGATAAGATAAACAATGGTCCTGCCTATCCATGATATTTGTTAAACACGCATTAATGGATTAGCATGAGAGCAAAGTTGTAATATAGTCGATCTTGACCTAATTAAGGTTATCTCCCTTTCTGCTCTTGCTTATCCCCTAAGAGAATGCAGTGGTATTAGCGAGTAGTGGAAGTAGGAGTAGCTCCTAGTTGGGTATTTTGGCTTGATTAAGCCGATTCGATCAAGTATTCAGAGGATAATAACCATGTTCTAAGATGCATTTGCTGTTATAATTGTTTTTAAGTACACGGTGTAAAACATGGCAAAATCATGAGAAGCTTCATGCGTTGTCAGATACTCAGATGTGTAAGGGGGTGTTTGGGTTCAGTCCCTCTCACCCAAACACCCCCTAACTACTGGTACTAGTTAGGTTGTGTTCGTTTGTACTGGTTTGGAACCTTCCCTTCCATTACGGAAAACGGAGAAGCACAAATTAACTTTAAAAAATGGATTAATATGATTTTTTAAAACAACTTTCCTATAGATTTTCTTTTTTTTTTTAGAAAAACACACCATTTAGCAGTTTTAAAAACGTGCGCACAGAAAAAAGGGGGAAGTTAGGAGTGTAAATGGATCAAAATAAGCGGGTTCATGCTTTCACGGGTTTGCCACTTACTCCGTCCGTTTCACAATGTAAGTCATTCTAGTATTCTCCACATTCATACTGATGTTAATGAATCTAGATAGATATTTCCCACATTCATATTGATGTTAATGAATCTAGATAGACATCAATATGAATGTGGGAAATACTAGAATGACTTACATTGTGAAACTATATCTATCTAGATTCATTGACATCTATATGAATGTGGGAAATATTAGAATGACTTACATTATGAAACGGAGGAAGTACATCTTTAGTACTGGTTAATACTTCGATGAGATGGTGTTTGATTTAATGAAACTAATTTAGTGTTATAAGTATTGTTATATTTTTCTTATAAATTTGGTCAAACTTTCAAGAAATTTGATTAAAAAAAATCAAAGCGATTCATAATATAAAATTGAGGAAGATTTAATTAATCATGTACTAATATAACGTTCTACGTGTCAAGAAGAAATGGTTCTCAACCCTCTCAAAAGAATACATCCTCATCCTTAAATTCTAGTACCCATTTCTCGGGTGAGGATCCTCTACCATAATGTCACTACCATTACAGCCACTGGTATGTGGGTTCCACTCTCATATTGTCCCACATGTTAGTATTTATAATGGTAGTGCCATTATGATAGAGGATGTGAACCCCCATTTCTCACAGCTATAGGTACACAACAACAAAAATTTATAAGGTTCATATACATATATTTAGTGGGATGTAAAGCATATATTTAGTGGGATGTAAAGCACATTCACGATTCACGATAGTGAGTATACACAACATATGTGTATAATGATACGTGTGTATGTACATCTCTATACCACATTCATCTATAATCAGATAGAGCAGTAGTAAAAGCGAAAAAGTTATGAAAAACGGATGGGACCAGCCATACTTGTATTCCTTGAATATACTATAGTAAAATATTGTTAAAATATAGCACTCTCTCCAGTACTGCAAACCTAGGGGCAGTTCCCATTTCTCCCTCATCGTCATCTTTGGGTGCAAAACCTCAAAAAATAATAATTAAAAAAGATGGTGCCTAAAATAGCACCTCACACCAGTAATTCCCCTTCCCTTCACTAATCAATCTCTCGCGTTCTTGGCCGCCGTCTCCATCTCTCTCTCACTCTCTCTCTCTCTCTCTCTCTCTCTCTCTCGGCTTTGGTTTGCCGCGTTACATCCGCGAAAAGGAGGAGGAAACAGGCGAAGCGAGGAGCTCCAGAGGGAGAAATTCCGTAGAAAGCGAGGAGCGTCGGCTCCCGCTTTTGATCTGTGGGTGAGTGAGGGGCGCCGTTTTTTTATTTTTCTTTTCTGTTCTTTTCTTTTCTTTGCTCTGTTCTTCTGCGCCTCCGTTTCTTGATGGGTTCGTTTACCTTCGAATCGAATGAATGCTGTTTGTTCTTGGGCTGGAAAGGCTCGATCTTGGGAGGGATTATGGGGGGGCGTTTCGTTTCTTGGTGTTGCTTGCGTTTAGGCGGCGATCTTTTTTTTTTCCCTTTTCCTTTAGAGATGTGAAGTTTCGGCGATCTCTTCAGTTGGGTTCTTCAGTGCTTTGAGCTTTGAAGGGAATTTGATTTGTTTTCAGTTAGTATTTCAGAAGAAGTTTGATGTAAAAAGGGGGATTTTATTTTATTTATTTATTTGCAAAAAGAAATTAATGCTGCTTTTGGAGTAGTACTATCTTTAGCAGGGCTTATCCTATCCATAATCCACCTGTCATTCTATTTTCAGAACTTGCTTTTCGAGTATGTTCTGGTTCGTAATTTGCCGCATTTCCATATAAACATTGCGGCCGATTTGTTCTTTCTTTTTTGTGTGTGTCCGTGGATTGACAGCGATAGAGAAAAGCCACAGTTTTCTGCTGTTCCATTGCTATTTGTACTTATCCTCAGTGAGAAATCTAACGTGTGTTACTTTAGGATGCGAGTGTTTATACGCTCTACCAACTTTTGTTTGTTTTCAAACATCGCCGTTCAACCAAGAAATCAACCACCAGTTGGATTCAAATCTTGTCCAGGCATATTCCTGTCAAGTACGAGCATATTTTTACCAGTTGCACACATTTGTATTGTTTACTCTGCATTCCTAGCCTCTAGACATTAGGAGAGATGGCAAACTGATCTATTTTTGTCCGTCAATTCTTATCCGTCAAAATCTATTTTTTTTATGACGTGCTAGGGAGGCAAAACTGATCTGTTTGGTTTTGATTAGAAAACCCTCTTTTTTATAGGGTTTGATCCAACCTGATGTGTGATGTCCATGCCAAATAGTGATTAGTAGTATTTATTTATTTAGAGAAAGAGAGCAGCGCTGTCCCATTTCATTATTGAAATGAACAATGTTATATTAGTGATTTTGTGCAGTAGCCATGTTGTAATTTTTTGATACTTCATGCAAAGCAGAATGTTTTTCTATACGTACTGCACGGATTCATACTGCCCCTAGTTGGATTTAACACAATGCTGCCACTGGGGTTTTGGCAGCTTGGATGAGTTGGATAGGTGGTGGTGGTGGATCCAGTTTTCACTAGTCTTGCTTGGCTGCTTGCCATCTCCTGTAACTAGTACTAGTATCTTCTGTAGGCCAGCCAGCTCTTGCCAAATAATAGGCTTTGTAATAATGTAATTTGCGTGTTAAACTGGTTTGATTGTCATAATGACACTTGGAGCCTCCTCTGGATTGGGATGGATATGATTGCAAGCAACTGTGGCATGAGGGTTGCAAGCTATTGTGCTTGGTGAGAATGGGGGAAAAATTCTGGAATGGAGGGTGGTTGAATCACTCTGGTGGAGTGTGGTGGTGGTCCTAGAGCTCCTATTTCTATGTTTGTATGTGGTGGGGGTGCGTGGTCCATGTTTTGATTAGTTTTCGTCAATGGATATTGTGGTCCTTAAGTTGGAGATAAACGTGCTATTATTTTTTGTATCAAAAGGATGGGATCCACTAGACTGGTGTCAAAATCTCTTAGTTGGTAGGATAGCGTCCGTAGTGAGGATATTTTGAAGTGCCGCACTTGCGGTGCGTGCCTAACATTTTTGTGTGCACCAAAAAGTTGTACCTTGCTAATGCAAGAGTTCAGCCAATGGATATCAAATGAAATGAGTACATATGACCTTCTTGTACTATTGTGTGTGGAGCCTTTTTTTTTCATTTCTTGACAATAGCAAACTTGTTCCGTGTCGTTTGATGTCCATCCATATTTGGTTATTTTAGAGTTCTAATGCAAGAATGTATGTAATCAGTCAGTTCAGTGACTTTAGTCACTGCGTCTGATGTGAAAAATATGTTTAGTAAACCATGAACAAGATATTTCTTACGTTTGCAAAAACATACTAACATGAAACTACAATGGCACAATGTCAGTTGGCTACGCATCAATAATATTTTATGTTGTATAACCCGGATTGTTTGTGTTTGTGGTGAATGTATTACACTAGATGCAAATTAGTTAATTTAACTAAATGAGATATTATTATATATTATAGTAGCTTTTATAAGGAAGAGCTGACATAATATGTTTTTCTATTTCACAGGAATTCAAACGGTGGTGCTTGCTATTTCGACGTAAGGGCTTAAACGAATTGGTTTGTCACTATTTTGGTTTCAACACAGAAGGTTGTGGGACCATGGTTTCAAAATCTTATTCAAATCTGTTAGAAATGAGTTGTGGAGATGGAGTTGACTTTCGGCAACCTTTTAAATCTCTTCCTCGTGTGGTAACCTCTCCTGGCATTATATCTGATCCTGATTGGGACACTAGAAGTGATGGCGATTCAGTTGGTTCAGCATCTTCTGTTGAGAGGAAAATAATTGTTGCCAACTTCCTTCCACTGAACTGTACAAAAGATGAAGCTGGGCAATGGTCCTTCTCAAGGGATGATGATGCACTGCTCATGCAACTTAAAGATGGTTTTTCAAATGAGACTGATGTCATTTATGTGGGTAGTTTGAAGGTTCAGGTAGATCCCAGTGAGCAGGATCAAGTTGCACAGAAGCTTCTTAGAGATTACCGATGCATACCTACTTTTCTCCCTCCTGACCTCCAGCAGCAGTTCTATCATGGCTTCTGTAAACAGCAATTGTGGCCACTTTTCCACTATATGCTTCCCATTTGTCTTGACAAAGGTGAGCTCTTTGATCGCTCCCTGTTTCAAGCCTATGTCCGAGCTAACAAACTCTTTGCCGACAAAGTTATGGAAGCTATTAATACGGATGATGATCATGTCTGGGTTCATGATTATCACCTCATGCTTCTCCCAACATTTCTGAGGAAGAGGTTACACCGAATAAAGCTAGGATTTTTTCTCCACAGTCCATTTCCCTCCTCAGAAATCTACAGGTCACTGCCTGTAAGGGATGAGATCCTGAAGTCATTGCTTAATGCTGATCTTATTGGTTTCCAAACATTTGACTATGCCCGCCACTTCCTTTCTTGTTGCAGCAGATTATTGGGTCTGCATTATGAATCAAAGCGCGGTTACATTGGAATAGATTACTTTGGAAGAACAGTGAGCCTGAAGATCCTCTCAGTGGGTGTCCATGTTGGCCGTCTTGAGTCCATCCTAAAGTTGCCTGCTACAGTAAAGAAGGTTCAAGAAATTGAACAAAGGTATAAAGGCAAGATGCTCATGTTAGGTGTAGATGACATGGACATCTTCAAAGGAATCAGTCTAAAACTGCTTGGGTTGGAGCTACTTCTAGATAGGAACCCGAAACTCAGAGGGAAGGTTGTCCTTGTACAGATTGTCAATCCAGCAAGAAGCACAGGGAAAGACGTGGAGGAAGCAATAACAGAATCTGTCTCTGTAGCTGAAAGAATCAACCTTAAGTATGGCTCTGTAGATTACAAGCCTGTTGTCCTTATTGATCATCGCATACCATTTTATGAAAAGATTGCATTCTATGCTGCATCTGATTGTTGTATTGTAAATGCTCTGAGGGATGGTATGAACTTGGTACCATATGAGTACACTGTTTGCCGGCAGGGAAATGAGGAGATAGATAATGCCAGAGGCAGTGACACAAATTGCCATCACACAAGCACACTAATTGTGTCTGAGTTTGTTGGTTGCTCACCATCTCTTAGTGGTGCTTTCAGGGTAAATCCTTGGAGTGTTGACGATGTGGCTGATGCCTTACACCATGCAACAGACTTGACTGAATCCGAGAAAAGGCTACGGCATGAAAAGCACTACCGTTATGTTAGATCTCATAGTGTTGCTTACTGGGCTCATAGCTTTGCTCAAGATCTGGAAAGGGCATGCAAAGATCACTACAGCCGAAGGTGCTGGGCTATTGGTTTTGGTCTGAACTTCAGAGTTATTGCTCTTTCTCCTGGCTTTAGAAAGCTCTCTTTGGAACACTTTGCTTCTTCTTACAACAAGGCTACCAGAAGGGCAATATTTCTTGACTATGATGGCACTCTTGTACCCCAGTCATCAATCAATAAAGCTCCAAGCGATGAACTTATTACTATTCTCAACAGCTTGTGTGATGACCCGAAGAATGATGTATTCATAGTCAGTGGAAGAGCGCGTAGTTTGCTTGATGAGTGGTTTGCTCCATGTCAGAAGCTTGGTATTGCAGCAGAACATGGCTATTTTGTCAGGTAAACATTTTGAGTACCTTTTTTTTTCATCTTAAATCTGTTTTTATTTGCATTTTCTCCACACTATTATGCAATTGTACAGTTCAATTATTCAGGAGTATGATGAACTGTTTATGTTTTCTCAGATGGAACAAAGCAGCTGAATGGGAATCAAGCTATCCAAACCATGATTTTGAGTGGAAGCACATCGCTGAACCGGTCATGCAAGTTTACACCGAAACAACTGATGGGTCCTCCATAGAGCCAAAGGAAAGTGCTCTAGTATGGCATTATTTGGATGCAGACCATGACTTCGGTTCCTGCCAAGCAAAGGAACTACTGGGTCATCTTGAAAGGGTGCTATCAAATGAACCTGTTGTTGTGAAGTGTGGTCATTACATTGTTGAAGTCAAACCACAGGTTTATACCGCTTGAATTTATTACAACATTTTGTCACTTTCAACTCATTATGTCCAGCTCGCACTAACTGAAATACATTACTTGTGCAGGGAGTTAGCAAGGGTCTTGTTGTGGACAAGGTAATTCACAGATTGATGAACAACGGGAAGACGCCTGATTTCGTAGTGTGCATCGGTAACGATCGATCTGATGAGGACATGTTCAAAAGCATCGACAGCATGACCTCCAGCTCCGCATTCCCTGCAGTTCCAGAAGTCTTTGCCTGTTCAGTTGGTCAGAAACCCAGCAAGGCAAAGTACTATGTCGACGATGCTGGTGAAGTAGTAAGATTGCTCAAGAATGTAGCTGGCATTTCGTCGCACCGGGAGGCCGTCAGCCATGGACGTGTGACCTTCAGGGATGTGATGGATTATGTGGAGTGAACCACCTAATCTTTGTAACATCCAAACTTGTGTACATTCCAATGTCTTCATCTAGATTTGGCCAAAAGCATGAATCATCACCACCATTAGGACAACTACAGGAGTGCAAGCGGAAGCTCTGCATTTTTAGTTTAGGTGATGTATACTCATATGTAGGCAATTTTGATAGTTGATGAGGTTCTTGCTGGAGAACTGCACTGTGAAAGAAAAGCCCCCTGGCTTTGAATAGCCATCGACTTGTTTCACTTGCCAGTTATTACCAGTTGCCAGTGTTTACCTGAATGACTGAATCCAATCTCCTGCTTCACATTGATGATTGTGTTGGGCTTTAGGAAATTATATCTTGGAGAAAGTTGCACTATGCCATCATGGAAACCTTCTAACTCTTATTTGCTCAAAAAAAAAAAAACCTGTATTTGCTCATGCTACTTTTCTAGACTTAGCGCTTGGTCTGACTTCTGAAGGTTGGAAAGGCCTGAGGGCATTGTTTGAACAGTATCAATTCGTGAGGTCGAGTCGCACAGCCTTACTGTATTGTGTTCTGATGACCGGTAAAAAGTCTCATTTGTTCAGGTTGGCCTTCATTCTCAAAAATATCTTCCAGCTTGCCCATTGCTAACTATATTATGAAAACAGCAAGCAACACAGCTAAACAAGCGCCTACTTTTCTACTGGTTTTATGTATTTTTGCAACTTTAGGTGACTGATAAATAAATAAAGAACAAACGACAAACAAATTCAAACCAAACTGCAAAAAATAATAAACCTTGTTTTGGCTTGTCAAAATGTTCTGAGCGTATGGCAGTGCAGACCCTAGCCTCATGTTTTAATAACCATTCCGTGGCCATATACTAAAGGGTGGAGCCAATTTTTGCCCTACCAAAATCTTGGTAGTGCCAAAGCCTTGACAAATTTTGGCACTACTAAATTGGGTAGTATTCAATTTGAACTATCGTGGGTAAAATTTGATAACAAACCAAACATGCATTTGCTACTATTGAAGTTACCAAAAATTAATTTGGTAAGTATCAAACCAAACATACCCAAGTTCAAGTGATGCTGTAGAGTATATAAATTCCATACGTTAACAGGCATGACAAAGCTTTGACACGAGAATAGCAGCAGTAACAATCATTACATGAGCTTACCATACCCTGATCACACTTATACATGACATCACCACTTAAGACGAGCACATATCAGTTCTAGTTATTGTACTTACATTCGATAGAGCAGAATATACTGACACGATAGGTTTTTTAGTTAGGCGCTACTACAGCAGATAGCAACATGGAGACAATACCCCAAGCAAATGCGTGCATACAGGCAATCAAGCTTAGAGAACATTACTCTCTCCATGCAACCTCCTCCTCCTGCTTATACCAGAACATTTGACAGCTGAGCAATGATTATTCTCTTGACCTGAAAAGCCCGATAAGTTGGCCTCGATCATGTCATCTATCTTATTGCTGAGTTCTGGACCATCTAGAAGCGCCACCAATTCACCAGCAGGCACCTTGCCATAAGATGCAGGCACATTATCCTCCTCTGAACTGGTATCTCCATCGAAGCCGATGAAATTCCCCACTAGCTCAGTAGATTCATCTGCCTTGTTGTCAGGACCAGTACTAGTAACAACAGGGTAGTCTAAATCAAGAAGAGAAGGACAAGGCTTAACAGGGGCTCGTTTCTCTAACCTAACGCTAGGGAACACAACACTTAGATAGCCAACACAAACTCTAACTAGCTTCAGCAGGAGGGCGTGAAACGTGGAGTTAGCAGCTACGCTTCTGATGTCGGAGAAGCTGATCAGAGCGGCCGTCCTCTGGATTGTCTTGTACTGCATCTGCATCCTCCTGAAAAAGCGGTTGATGGAGACTTCCTGCCTACATGTTTTGGTTTACACTGTCTTAATTACAGTTTGATTTTGTTTTGGGAGAAATATAGTAGAAAGCAGAGCCACTCACATGAGCAGGGTAGAAATGCCGAATGGAGAACCCAATAACTGAACCAAGCAGTGCACATAGCACTGCAATAATTGACACCGAAGTTGTTCCCAAGCCTGTCAAGAAAAGAACATCAATATACAGATACCATCTTGCAACTGTGCAGGTACGGAACACATATTCTGCAGACTCATTTTACTGAAACTTGAATTGTTCACTACAATTATGCAACACAATATACAATACTTATTAGTTCACTTTAAATAACAATGTATAATCATGTGAACAATGCATCCTGCAGAAGAGCGTCATTAGAATCAACAAAACAAAGTAAAACAAATAAGAAGAGGAAACATAGGTATACATTAATCCACTTATCCTCAAATTGGGTGAAACATGACCGTGTTGATAAAAAAATGAATTGTAACATTTTTTATAACAAAGGACATTTATTATATATTTTCTGAACTGAACCTTTGCAAAGTGTTGAGAGACCCAGAGACATCACAGCAACAATCTCACACTAAAAGATATTGCTAACAATAAATAGACTTCAACATGACGCAACCAAATATGAGCCCAAAAACAAGAATAATATAATACTCCTCACTTTGCTATTCAGAACCTTCAGCCTACAAGTTTGAATTGATAAAAATTGGCAACTAACTGCAGATATATATTGAAAGAAATTAGATTATGGTTAACAGTAGTCCACTCCATCTTGCTTATTTATGGGTTACACACCTTCAAGGTCCATTAAACACTCACCTGGCTGTGTCTCACGTGCACAATCTTCTTGTTTTAGATTGATTTGCCTGATCAAACGATTTCCTCTGTCAGTAACTAACAGAGCACACATTTTTGGGACATAAACAAGCTCAAAATCTGAAGAGAATGTAGCATTCTGTGCAGGTCCATCCTTGCGACCAGGCCCTTTTGAGCGCCCTCCAGCAATTGTAGTAGTAAAACCTAGCAACAGGTAGCAAGAACTCAGGAATCAATGGATACATTGTAGGTTTTACACAGAGCCAAAGAGATTTAGTAATCATTTACAGACAAGGTGTGCAGAGTGATAATGCTGTTGCTAATTACAGTACATTGAACTACATACACCTATATATATTACAAAGATATCAAATGCGAATGTCAAAATCAGCCTGAACTAAATCCTAGTCAAGCCAATTTATCCTGATGTGAAAGGAATAGGAGGTCCAAGATTAAATCCTAGTCAAGGTCCAAGATATGGATCATGTAAGTTTTCGAAACAGATCGACCTTAGCTGCCCTCGAAAGCGAGAGGCGCACAACATTCTAACCACCGAAAATTAATGCGCCGTATCACCAATCGGTTCCCTATACGTAGTCCATGATCAATACATTATCCACTTTCTCCATTTGGCTCGTCGCATGGCATAAACCCTAAACCTTCATCACTATCCGATCGATCGATGGATGGATCGGAGGCAAAAGAGAGCAGCGGTCTCTCACCGGAGGGCGCGATCTTTCGGACGGCGCCGTTCATGCGGTCGGCGACGTAGACGTTATCCGCGTGGTCGACGGCGAGGCTGCGGGGGCGGTCGAAGGCGGCGTCGCGGGGCTCCCCGTCGGCGAACCCGGCGGGGCCGCCACCACCGCCCGCGAGGGTCCGCGCGGCGGCGCCCCCGGAGAGCGGGAGGGCGAGGGTGTAGAGCGCGGAGGCCGCGGAGTCGAGCAGGACGAGGTCCCCGGCGCGCGGGCGCGGGAGGAGCGCGTAGGGGTGGGGCGCGGCGGGGGCGCCCGGGTGGTTGAGGTCGGCGGCGGTGGTGACGGTGTAGCCGTCGTCCAGGACGAGGCCGGCGGAGGCGAGGGAGAGGGTGAGGGAGAGGGTGAGGGTGAGGAGCGCGAGCGGAGGAGGAGAGGCGGCGGCCATGGTGGTGGTGGTCGCCGACGCGGGGAGGCAAGAGGGTGGAGTGTGACAGTGGAGACTGGAGAGGGAGTTGGGGAAAGTGAGGGAGGGGGCGTACGGCGCGATGCTGCTTGCCAGCGAGGCTTGCTGGACTCTTGACTTGCGATCCGTTCGCGGGGGCGGAAACCCCGCGGGCGCGGCGGCACGGCCCAACCCAAGTGCGGGCTACGTGTGCGGCGAGGAGGCCGGGAGGCCCGTGGAGGAGGACGGCACGTGAGGGGCTGGCGTTGCGTTGAGCATGAGAAAATGGATGTCTAGCCACTTTCAAAAAGTGGTTTCGCTGGAATACTATCCCGAAAACACGTTTCGCTAAAATGCTAATATAAAGCGCACACTCACCGTCACTTTGCCATTTTGGCCATTTTGTGCATTGTCAATTGCATTTTCGCTGGAATGCGGCTTGTTGAGACCAAATTGCCCTTGCTCACCGGCTGAAAGGGGATCGATCCAGTTCATGGAAGGAAGAGGACGAGCGCGGCGAGGTGGTCCGCGTGGCCGAAATGGAGGAGGTGGCGAGCGAAAGCATGGCGGCGGCGACAACGACGGCGACGCGGGCATGGCAACGCCGCAACGAAGGGACACGCACGGCCTCCAAGCTGACTGTTCTCCGGCGTCTCCACCGCCGCCCTGTCAAGGCACGCGAACTGCTCGGTGTGCTCCAGCTTGTGGCTGCCCTCGATGCCGGACTCATGCAGCCGCGATCTGTCAACGGGGACCTCCACACCCCACTTCCTCGCCGACACGACAAGCATCCGCGCGATCCTCGTCAGTGGGCTGCCACCGAGCGCTGGTGCCTGTACAGCGGCGTGCCAACGAAGAAGCTGACGACGGCTACTGTCGGCTGCCCCTCGGCGCCCTCCTATGCTAGCGCCGCTCCAGGGTTCCCGGTCTCCACCGCCACCAGGGGGAGGGCCGCCGCTGCCCTCCACCGCTTCACCGCCTCCATCCTCCTTCACTCCCTTCTCCGCCCCCCGGATGCCATGCCACCTTCGTTCGCCACGCCGGATGCCGTTTCTCGGGAGACCGGGGGGACGAGCGCCTGCCCGCCTCGCCACCGGAGCCGGGTGCTTGCGCCTGTCGCCGACCAGCGTGCCGGCCATCATCCGCGAGCCAGGATGGCTCAGGCTCCGCCCCGCTTGATTGTCACGCCCTAAAAATCGTCTAATTTAAAAACGCGTTGTTTAAATCATTAAGCGTTTGGAATTTTGGATAGAAATTCCGGGCGTGACATTGATCCATGCCGCCTGGGTCGCCGCGATGCCATGGCGTTGTGTCCCCTACTCGCCGCGCTCACGACACACCGGAAGGGGCAATTTCGTCTCATCATCCGGTGGAGGAGCGAAAATGATTTCGAAAATGCACAAAATGGCCAAAATGGCAAAGTGGCGGTGAGAGAGCGCTTCATATTGGCATTTTAGCGAAACACGTTTTCGAGATGGCATTTCAGCGAAACCGCTTTTTGAAAGTTGCTAAATGTCCATTTTGGCCAGCAAGTGCACGCAGGGGCGCAACGGGTGCACGAAGTGAATTGGGAAGAATCATGCGAGGGTTTATTAAAAACTGTACGATTATTGCACGGTTATCATGCGGTAATCATGTATGGTAATCTTTTTATAAAACCACAGTATACCTTGCGGTAACCACATGGTTTTCGCGATAACCACGCGGTTACCACGGTAACCATCAAACCGTGGGGTGATGGTAACTCTATCCTAAACGGTTTGGTAAACCCTAACTGTGACTAGATTTCCAACGATTTCGGCAGTTCGCCATAGAAGTTCTCCCGTTTTCTTTTCTTGCGCTTCACCAGTTAAATGTTTTTTTCCCTTAAAAAATCGGTCACATCTTTAGAATTTGTTCGGGAGCTCCTTCATCATGGATGGATGTTGGACCTTATACCTAAGGCTTAATTGATGCGGCTAAGGTGCTCAAATTTTGTATGCCTCATAACCACATGGTTTTTGTTTATTCGGTTGCTAACTTCGCTTACCCTCTTCCTCTATCCCCGCAGCTTCGGTGCCAACAGTGGCTCTAGACCGTCTATCACTGATCTTTCACCATCCTGAACATTCGTCTAAAAGCTGCCCTTATCACGGGGGGCGGAGTGGGCCTGGCACCCCCATGCCCCCATTGATAGCCCCTTTGGGAATTAACAAAATGAGCAAGCATGTCTGTGTAGTTGTTTCTATCTCTAGCTAGTAGGCAAGCATACATGTTTAGTTCGCGAAATGAAAATTTTTGAGTGTCACATCGGACGTTTGACCAGATGTCGGAAGGGGTTTTTGGACACGAATGAAAAAACTAATTTCATAACGCGCCTGGAAACCGCGAGACGAATCTTTTGAGCTTAATTAATCCACCATTAGCACATGTGGGTTACTGTAGCACTTATAGCTAAATATGGACTAATTAGGCTCAAAAGATTCGTCTCATGATTTCCTCCCTAACTGTGCAATTAGTTTTTCTTTTATTCTACATTTAATGCTCCATACATGTGTTCAAAAATTCAATGTGATGTTTTTGAAAAAACTTGTTGAGAACTAAACGGGGCCTAAAGTGCATGGATGTTGCTAGCTAGCTAGAAGGAACACACTAGTGACTCATTGGTTCATATAGGCCTTTCATGATTTTATCCTCTGGATATATACGACCTTTGGTTTGAGAGTGCACGCTAGCTCTCTTTGCTATATATCACTACAGTCGTTAAACCTTACAGGCTTTACGGTTCAGAATTCAGACCAATGGCCCCAATCATCGATATGTTTGAACTACCATCATGCAGCCGGTCGAAAAAGTGTGATGTACCGATGTGGTTCATTAAATTGGATTTTTTTAAGAAGTTACATATGACTACTAGATTTGTATGCTAATGTAGAACTAGAGAAAACTTTGTGTTTAACTCTATGTTGTACGATTCAATTATGCATATTAAGTAGGCAAAGTGGATGAACTGTGATGAGCCAATAGCTCATATAACTCGGGTTAATCAGACGAAATTTAGGCTAGATGTTAATTACAACTCCATAGAGGGCAAGCAACCGACCGGTTGAGACGAATCTTAATCCATTTTCTCATTTTTTGTTTTTGTTGTTGATCACTGTGACATGACACTGACCACACACATACACATAGGTAGAAGCTAATCGATAGAAGTGAAATGATCTCCCGGACTGAAAAGGAGGCCTTTTTCTGATGCCTAAGCTACCGCAAAATAAATGAAGGAAAAATACCTTAGGATTAGAAAGACTAAGGAGGCATAGAGATCATTCGTGAAGCCACCGATAAGTTATATGCTAGCCTTATGGTTATGCAAATCCTACCTTCACCCCTCTTCACCACCCCTACCTTCTCCCATTATTTCCCACCTTAAAACCCTAATTGGAAGGAATTCTGTTAGAGTTTGGGCATCGTCGGCGCTGAGACTCGCTAAGGAAGTCACCACCGCCAGTAAGTTCACCATCTCGCTTCTTTTCTCTCCTCTCTTTATGCATCTCTTAGTCCTCTAAGTCTAGAGATTGAAGACGATACCCTAGACATTTAGTATATTGTGATCAAATTACTAGGACTGAGAAAAACCCGTAGTCTTATGCCGCACTACAAGTTGGTGGCCTAGTCGATCCTGGTTCCAACCGCATCACCTCTTAATAAACATCCATATTTGAGTTTCTTCCTTTCATATCCAATTTTTAAAATGGCCAGGACTACGTGACTAAATTTCTCCAAATTCCATGATAGGAAATTAAGGTGAACTTTTTTCCTCTACTAGCTTCAAGCTAAGGAAAGAGGGGGGTACGCAACAAGCACCATTGAAGATGACTGAATGAAAAATACTGTTTCTTAAGGAAAATGAAGTATATATTCTACAACTTCGAGTTTTCATATACTAGTGTTAGGCCAGTGCGTTGCAACAAGATCTGAAGAAAAATTGACGGTTTCATGGGTTTAATTTTTCTATCTTTTTTAGTTCATTTTTAGATGGTAACACCGGTTTCTGGATAGATGGTTCTTTTAAGGTATGGTCGTCTTTTTTTTTTTTGCATGGAGAAAGTGCGATGGTTCGGGAGGGAGGAAGAGGACGTCTTCGCTTTTAAAGTATTTTCATAAAACAAGACAATTATTTTAGAGGGAAAAAATAGAACAATTATAAGCTTTAAAATTAAAGCCTCTTCAACCATGGAGCAAGGTTGTCAGGATCGGGATCCTAGGTAGTATTGTTTTGCTCAAAGTAGTATTGTATCGTAGGATCAGGATACTATGAGATTTTCTTTTTTTTAGTTTAGTTAATATTTATATTAATTATATATAGCCATCCTATATTAAAAAAATGTAGTAATAACATATGACATGCAAATAGAGACATTTATCAAGAGAAACCATGTTGGTTTTGATATATTTAACTGATTTTTATATAAACTTGAGCCTATTTATTTACATTATTTTCAAACCATATTATTTTAAATAATATTTTATAATATCGTAGGGATCGTAGAATCGGGATACCACCTAAGATTTCATAGGATCGTGTAGTACTAAATAGTAGGATCGAGATACTATAAAAATTAAGATACTAGATGGAATCAGTATCGTTTAAGCTTGGTATGATCGTAGTAGCGTAAAATACTATTATACGAATCGGGATATTGAAAACCTTGGCCTGAGTGTTGGACCAGCAGCAGGTAGCTGCAGCAGGCGAGGTGCCAGGCGGCCGCCATTACACAAGCGTACGTTACGGTAGACGATCAGTCTGGCACTAGCAGGCAGCCGTTCGGCAAGGCCAAGTCCACCATGTGCCGGCATGTGCAAAGCCCCTCCTCATCCGTCCCGTTCCCCCCGCCCAACCGCAACGGCCTTCCAGTCCAGGCTTCCCACGCCCCCACCACCTGCATCCAGGCTATCCAGCCATCCACCGCCGCTAGCTGCCTGCCTCGCGCGACACGTCTCCCCGCAACGGAAAACCCCATGGTCCCCCCCGGTTAATTTTCCTTGGTGAGCTCCAGCGGTGGTAGGGTTGCAAAAGGCCAACCGCCGGCCCACGTCCTACTCGTACATGCATAGCTAAGCTTAAGCTAGCTGTGGTAGAC